TTGCACACATACAGTAAATGAACAGTTGACTAATTCTTGATTTAACACAATAAAAATGGAATTTTTATTATGGCCGAAGCTCCATGAAATGCTGCTTTACTACCAAATGAAGCGGATTTGAGTTGTCGGTATTCGTTCTGAGGTGTTTAAAAAGAGGAACCTGTGGCTGCGGTGATGGTGAGGGGGTGGAGGTCGGGGTCAAACGGTTCGCTGAGGGTCAGGGTCAGCCTGAAGGGCTGCCCCCGCCTGACCACCAGCTCCTGGACGCTGATTTCATGGGTGCGGTGTTCTCTGTTGTTGGCCGCACTGTGGAGGTCCACTCCTCTAAAAACTGGAAAAGATTTTATTTATTTTTTTTAAAACACACAAAAACAGATGAGGAATATCATTGATTGATGTTTCGGAGCTTCTGTTAAATCAAAACTAACTTGTGGATTTCAGATATGAAACTTCTTCCACTGTAAAGGCCGGAGTCTGCTCTGATTGGTCGGCTAAAGTGGCCGGATCAGGCTCCTCCAATCCAGAGCAGCTCTGCTGAAGTTTGACTACTTTTAAAGTTTCACTGGATTAAAAATGACTTGTTTGGATTCAAAACAATTGATTGTTTAGTTTTTTTTGCCACAGTATTCACTCTGAGTAGAGCTTTCGCAGTTGTTTTGAGTCTATTTTTCTCGATTCAGTTTTAAAAACATGAATCTTATATATCTTTTTTACCCTTCAGATTTCCCCAAAATTGAAAATAGTTTGAGCCAAATTCTGTTAATGAAATAAACCAAATAATTGTTTTTTTTTTCAAGATTACACCCTTCAGATTTTAGGGTCGATTTCTCCTACATAAAAAAAAAATAGTTTGAGCCAAATTATGTTTATGAAATAAACCAAATAATTGTTTTTTTTCAAGATTACACCCTTCAGATTTTAGGGTTGATTTCTCCAAAATAAAAAAAAATAGTTTGAGACAAATTATGTTCATGAAATAAACCAAATATTTTTTATTTTTTAGATTACACTTAAATGGTGTCTCATTGTGAATCATTTCCCATCAGTTTGGATCTTTTAAATGTTCTTAAAAAGCCAACTTTCACTTGTTAGAAGGATCCTTGTACTTATTATGCAACCTATTCATAAACCCTGATATCTGAACGCCTTCACACAGATTCGGAGGGAGTGGAAGGCCCTTGTTTGATTTCTCCCACTCAGACAATGGCTCCCATGACAAATGGCAGCATAGTTCAGTGACAGAAGCCAGGGCGAGGTGGTGGAGCGCAAACTTAGTCACCAACGGGTCACTGGGATCGGACTGAAGAATATGAAGCGTGCCGCGACAGGACGGAGAAAAAAAAACGCCCCCCTGGACAGTTCGTGGGAAAGTTTCTGTCACGCTCGAACCTTTTTCGTGGGATAAAACCAAGTCTCCAATCGAGATGACCCCAGAAAGTAAAGGGTTTTACCTCGAAAACCTGAAACAATGCCTCAAAAAGTCAAGGATAGTTGCTTTTCTTTTTGGTAAAAGTCAGCCGTTTGTTGTAAAACCTTGTTTGAGTTAGTTAATAAGTCAAAAGTTTTGGTTAGATGCTTCACGCTTGGTGGAAAAATCCTGAATTATAGCAAATTGTTGTTTTACAATCACACAAAACCTGAAGTCATGATGCTTTACGGAGCAAATCTCACACTTTCTTCTTTTTTGGTAAAAAGTCAGCCGTTTGTGGTAAAACCTTGTTTGAGTTAGTTTACGAGTCAAAAGTTTGGGTTGGATGCTTCACGCTTGGCGGAAAAATCCTGAATTATAGCAAATTGTTGTTTTGCTATCGCACAAAACCTGAAGTCATGATGCTTTACGGAGCAAATCTGACACTTTTGTATCTCAGTATCATTGTACATGTTACTCAGATATCAAAAAGTTTGTATTAATTGCGTTCTTTGACGGTTTTTTTAAAATAAAATGAATGAATAGATAAATAACACGTTTCAGGATAACGGGATGCAGAGCATTCAAAATGAAAAAAACGATCCCAGTTAAGATTTTAGGGTGTTTTATCGGATTTCAGGCATTTTAATATATTTATTCGTATGTATTTTAATCATGGGCATTAGAGGCTTTTTAGAAGTGGCTTAAGCTGTGGAATGATTCTTGAATAAGCGTTTAAAATCAGTGTTTTCTGCAATGCAGTGCTTTGTCCTTGCTGACTTTATTCCAGCTTGTGGGGACAAGTCGGAGAACTGATGATGTGCAGCTCTTTGTGCTGCGTAGATTAATAAAAGTCCACCAGAAAGGCTGGATTTTTTTCTTTAAAAATGAAAGCTCTTTGCTCAATTAAAGACTCTCCACTAGTGTTTTAATCTTAAAATCTACAATAACAAAAAGAAAAAAGAACAAAAGGGCATTAACAGGGTCTAATCAGCATCTGAAGGAGTTTCCAACTTGCTATAAAATACATTTTAAGAAAACCACCTTTGAACAACATAGAATAACCCGTTTCTCGAACCAACAGTGTAGAAAAACCTCTGTACTTACCTGCCGCCATCTCTTCAGAACGTTGCTTCCCGATGTAAAAACAGATAAATGCTCTCTTATAGGCAGGCAGCAGCACTCTGACAGGTGACCCGGCTCAGGTGGATTTTAAACGTGTCACACCCAGCCACTCCTCCCAGTACCACACCACGCAGTGTCGCAACCTCGATGACAGACGGCCATCCACGATGGAAAGTTAAAGCCAAGAGAAAATGAATTGCTCATAAACGGCTCCTGGCCTGACATGTACAGGAAAAAAAATAAGCGTACTAGCTTAAACGAACACTTGTTTATTCATTTTATCGTCCAGAACATGGGAATGTACTCCTAAAAACTCCTACCCTGACCTGAGAGGACCTTTGACCGCCTCCAGCTGATCTCTGATTGGTCAAAAAGGTGTGACACATGGTTATGATCACCGGCCCTGAAAGAGGCGAAATAATCAGAGCATGATGTAACTTATTAAATGGAGAAAAAATGATTATTTCTCTACGTGTGTCTCCTCCCTTTAACTTCATAGAAAAATGGTGAGTTTCTGTATTTCACCATCTTTAAGAATGCGTCCTTAGACTCTATGGAAGCTCCTTTTGCTTTTTCATGATATCGAGACAAAAATCAAGTTAATGAGATAAAAATTCAGTTATTAAATATAATTATGATATTGTGAAATACAAATATATCAGATATCAATGCTCAACTGAGTTTAATCAATTAAGTTCAACGTCCACCTCACAATCTATATAAAAATGTAGGTTCTTTTTTGTGTTTCAACTAACTTTTTAACTATTTTTACTTTCATTTAATAATTTCCACTTTCCTATCTTATCAATCTTGTGTGCAAATGTTGAAATTTGAATTTTTTTCCTCATAATTTGACTTTTCCAGGCGGTGAAACTCTGGCCTCTGGGTTTTTCCTGCTTTTAACTACAATAGTTCCTGTTTTTAAGTTTACACTATAAGAAATGAAGCAAATTTGTTTGAACTTTGACAAAAAACTACTTATAGAGTCAAAACAAAGCTTCCATCCAGTAAGGATGAACGAGTTCTCGGCTCCGCCATCTTGTGTGTCATAACTCGGGATTTTGACCTAAATCTGGGTTGTTTTGATGTTTGACTGTCAGAGATGAACTTCAACAAGATCAAAACTCCAGAACCTGATGTTGATGAGCTCACTTTCAATGGAAGACACACCCTGTTTGCATGCAGTTGGGGATGGGTGGATGACATCTGAGTTTGAACCCGTCTTATTGGGGCCTTTTCATGCAACACTGGAGTTCCTCGTTGTGTCATGAATCACTAAAATCAGTCCAGGAAACTGGGCCTGTGTGGGAAGATAGTTTGGCTGAGTTTTCTTCTGTCACCTATGAGTCAAACGGTATCAGATTGTGGACAAAATTAAAAGCTAGCAGCAATACAGGCTAAATGATGACGTCCTATTAAGTTAAGATTCCTTAAAAGGACCGAAAAATTCTAATCATCATCAACGGCTGAACATATTTATCCTGATAAAAACCTGTTTTAAAGTGAGAATGGAGGGAATTCAGGGAAACCTACAAAAGTTAAGACTAAAAGTTAAGATTAAAAAGTTAAGATTAAAGTTAAGCCTCATTTATCTGCTTTGGTAAAGCGTCTAAATAACGATTAATTCAGAGCACTGAAAAAAAAAAAAAGCACAGAATGGAAACGTCAGAGTTTTATTTGATTTAAAACCTTCACAGCTGCTCCTCCTGCGGCGCTCCGTTTGAATTTTTCATGACTTGGCAGGAGCAAACAGAAAAGCGGAGGTCGGAAAAGTGCGTTTGGAGGCTTTTTTAAAACATTCTGCTGGATGAGGGAGTGGCCAAAGTCATTCTGATGCGCATTACTGTCCACATTTATTACTCAGCCTGGTCCTGGCAACTCAAGCTGAACCAGTTTTTAGCATCCATCTTTCTCTGAGTTGTTCTTACTGTGAGTCTATCGAGGTCTGGCCTCTTTTTTCCTGGTTTTTCCGTTA